TGCCCAACTCTACATATACACGTCAAATTTGAAATTCCCTTCACTCCTGAAGATTGCCTAGTGCATGAAACAGCCTGTAGAGTGAAATTACAAGTTCCTTATTATTAGTATTATTATTATTATACCGCTCTGCATAGCATCGAGCACTATACGTTGCCTGAACCGACAACTTTATATTCATTTATATATATATATATATATATATATATATATATATCGTAAAATAATGATTTACATCGACTTTTGACGTTCTTGAAATATTTTTTTCTATCTATCCAGAAATATTAGTAAGCATACCTTGTATCAACTAATTTTGCAAGAGGTTTGTAAATAATCACACGGATCATAATATTTGAATACTGATGCCTTATCTCAAAATTGCTGTTAATCTGAAGTTTGTAGTGTCAATTATCTATGGACAAACATTAGTATTGCTACTGTCTATAATTGCCTGCTGGCTATTAGATAAATACTAGGCCTATAGCTCTTTTAATTACATAAACGTCAAGAAGTGTAATTTCCTGCTTCTCAATCTATGGAACGCGACCCAAATTTGGGTCGCCAAAACGTTTCTGAGGGTCGTGAGACTGTTTCTGGCAAAAAAAAAAAGTAGTCTTTGGCAAAGCTCATTTCAAAAGGTAGTGTCAAATACTTCTACATAACCGTCCTTCAACAAACTAAATAGATGCACTCAGACGTAGATACGAAGCAAAAATCTAAAAATATTTCAACACCAAAAACCTAGAACTTAATTTCAAAATTGCACTGTCGCTAATCTTCTTTTTTTATTTTGTTTTATTATTTATTGACTTTTATTAATTAGTTTTATGCCAAAGGCCAAGGAATGCCAAGCAGTGAACTAAGTCATTATTCAAAGTGGCATATCCCTTCACAAGACAGACATAAACACAAAACGCTCTACATAAACTAAGTCATCACATTATGAGGCTTAGGGAGTGGAGTTGTTGTGGTCGTGAAAACAAATCTTGTTACCGTGACAGGGAATGAACCTAGACCCTGAGATTGGATGTTAAGCATCTTAACCACTAAAGTGTTCAACTCCAGGCTCATTGTTTGAGCCTATTTGCCAGTTCATAAGCACGTACGTACAAGCTTCATTTTTCAATTAGTTCTGCCCAGTCAACCTCGCCAAAATCGACTGTGCAAAACTCAAGAATCCATCATTGTTTTATTTTAAAGTATACTGCCTTGTACACTGTGCTGAATAACTAAAAATCGAAATGATCTATCACAAACAATTTGTATTTGACTTTGCAGAGGTTGACTGTAGAAATACGACAGATTGCAAAATTCTTTGCCTGATGAATTAGGAAGCAAGTGCTATGGCTATCAAATCATACTAGCATAGATTTTCTAAAAACAAATAAGGGCATGTGTCAGAAAAATGTCGCATTGTGATTTTACTGAGCTTCATGTACTGTAGGCCCAAGTAATCAACACATACATTAACATTTGAGGTATACGATAAAGGCCTTGGGTCGCCAACGAATATGGAGTCTAAACGTGGGTCACCACCTGAAAAAGTTTGAGAAGCAAGGGCATAATCATAGTGCCAACAAAATCAGTTTACCTGATTAAGAAATCATTTCTTGAAGTTTAGTATCAAACACAATTTTTCATAATATAATGCGTCATTGTCCTCCCAACCAAACATATTTAAATCTTAGGTGTCATTTTTCACAGAATTGTGTTAATGTGAATGTTGCTCCTGTCACCGCAAGTTCATCATACCCTAGAAACATTGTTTTCAGAATTAAGAGGTACATTACGATGTCAGCTGGAGAGCAGGGTAGTCAGGCGTTTATACCTTCCCATCTAGTTCTCTCCTTTTTAGAATCCTAAAATCACTTAATTGCAATTGACGTAGAATACAGCAACCAGAGTCATAGCTCTCACATAAATATATAAACTCATCACTAATCACACTTACACTATAAATTATATTGGATTCCACTTACAATTGCAAAACGAACTCTCCTATCAGACAAACTACAAAACAGAATATAACTATATTACTTCATAGCCTGCACCCTATGCATGGCCGAGTATGGGCGATTCCATTATTTTCTTTTATGCTTGAAGGTAAGTTCAAGGAAAAAATCGAATCGGTAAAGAGCATCTTAGCAAGCCAAGAAAAGAACGCAAGATATCTTCTATTCTATATATTTGAGCGTGTTTTATTATTTTTAAAGTGAATTTTCATTTTTTTATATATAGAACATTGAATCCTGCGTAATAAACCATATTTAAATTTTATAGGGTTTTTTTTCCTGTTGTTTTCTTAGTTATTTTTCCGATGCTATTTGGAACACCTCTGCCCCTGATTACTTCATCGAGCTTCGTGACGAGTTCAAATCTCCAAATGAGCCATCATTTGGAGAGACTGATTACTACTCCTCCCGTTACCGGGGTTATTTTGTGGCACCATATGACGGACAATTCCGGTTTTTAATTTATAGTGATGACCAATCAGAGCTTTACTTCAGCATGACACAGAACCCAGAAAATAAGGTAATCAATAAATTAATTGATAAATTTATAATATTGTCCATTAGAATATGTGTCTTGGAAACTGTCTTAACGAAATGAGCCACGAGGAGCTTCGTTCAAATCTGATTAGAAGCAACTGAAATAACGTTCAAAATACATGTTTATGCACTTGTTTTTATTTTTATATTTAACTTCCAGGTTAAAATTGCATTTAATTCTTGGGCAACCAATAACTTTTACACACGATGGAATGAACAGGTGTCCGAACTGCTGACACTTGTTGGCGGAGATCATTACTACTTAGAAGCTTACCACCGAGAAGGCTATGGAGCCGACTATTTGAACGTGGGGCTGATGATGTACGACTTGCCCATCAGTAACGCCGAATACAATGATGCAATAAATGAAGTTCAAACTATATCTATCACTTCAACCAAGAACAATGAAATACAGGTGAGAAACAGTTACATACATATTTTGTTATATTATTATTATTATTATTATTATTATTATTATTATTATTATTATTATTATTATTATTATTATTATCATCATCATCATTATTATTTTTTTTTTCTTCATCATTATAATCATGTCATTCATAATAATTTTAATATTTCATGTATTATATTGGCTGTTAAAAATACATATCGATATATGTTGCATCTGTTGCATCAACCTATTCACTGCTGTTAGTGCATATACAGACACATTATGGTTATTGAAATATATTGTGTAAGCCATTTCGGCCCTTAATTGAATAATAATAAAATGTGCGATGTTAAATGTACTCACTATAAATATTGTATCCGTCTCCCGGATCTCTTCAATATAGGCGGTGTTGTTGTGTACCCAATGCTGTAGCCAGCTATCGGGACAGTTGGGACAGTCCCACACATTTTTTCTAATGGGTCCACAAAGAATGGGGGTCCACATTTTTTAAAATGGGTCTAAATTATGTAATTTTATGCATAAAATGGGTCCACTTTTTGAAAAATGGGTCAAGATTTCTCATATTTAGCTTAAAATGGGTAAAATTTAAGAAAATGGTCCAGATTTTGCATATTTTTGCGTAAAATGGGTCCACATTGTTTGAATTTACGCGTAAAGTGGGTCCACCCTGATATTGTCCCAAACTGTTAGAAAATCCTGGCTACACCATTGGTGTACCCATGTTGTTTAATCCATGAATTAAGACATATTTTATATTTCAATACTCTCGTACTATTTTTACTTTTATATTAGAGATGATGCTATGTTTGTTTATGAGACAGTACAATAGTTGTTGTTTATGTTTAGATTTTAAGTCTAGATGGAAGTTATGGCGAAGTACAGACGATAGAACTCTTCTATCCAAACTGCTCTTTGATTGACCTGTGTGATTATCTAAATTGTTCTTCTTCTAACAATACGACAGTGATTGACACTTATTACATATGTATGGAGTTAAATTGTTCTGTGCCAAAAAATAGAGACGTATGTAATCAGCTGAACTGTACAGTTTCTGAAAATGGGACCATTGAGAATAGGTTTGTAAGTTGCGATCAAATAAACTGTTCCGTGTCGTATGATGAAAATAGGTTTACAGAATTTATATCATGCGGCGAACTTGAAGGTACATTTAACCTCACATTTAGTGATGAATCAACAGGTATGTATATTAAATTTTGTGATGAAATTAAACTCCTCGTACTTTATTTCATATTTTGTGCAGAAGGTTTCTCATTTTAGTGATGAATATATATCCAATTTAAATCTCCTTTTCGCAATAAGACACAGGGTAAATCATACAATGTATGATGTATGATAAAACCACATGAATTCATATTATTTACTGATAGAAAATATGTATATTCGTTTGTTTTGATACGAAATTGGTCCCACATTGGCTGTTGGAATCTCAAATCCCGACATCTATATTAAGCTAATGCATCTACCTCTGCTGATGAAATTATAGATTGCTTATATCAAAGGCAAGAAAAATATGTAGTTTGGAATGCATTTCTCATTTTTATTGTTATCATAATTATTACCATCATTACTATTTTTACTACTATTATCATTCGATGTAATGTATTATGAGGTTAAAGTGACTTGAGCAACGTACACGGTATTTTTTTAAGGAAAACTGTTTGCAAATGCTACAGCTGTTGAAGTTCAGGATGCTCTGAACAACTTGCCTAGCATCGTTAGCACACCTGTGTTTGTAAATGAATCATCCACTTCGACTGCAAAAGTGTTTGAGATTTACTTCCCACCTATTGCAGGTATGAGTATATCTCTTTAAACCATTATGATTAATAAAAAGAAATATATGATTGTACATGTATGTGTAATGGTTTTCCAATATGCCTTTAAATAACATCATATATATAAGTATTTCGTTCGAGATCCAGTGAGCTGAATAGGATTTCTGGCAGTCTAGTCACATGCGATATTAGTGCTATATCACCATTGTGACATATAGACACGTTAACCACAGCGCTTCCGTAATTAAGTGCTTAGGATGTTCGGCATGTATGCAAACTGTCTGAGAGGCAATTACATCTTCATTCATATATATATATATATATATATAATCAAGATAGCCGTTAACACTGTTAAATTATATATATATATGATGATGTATATATATATATATATATATATATATATATATCACATCT